ACAAGCTAACGCTACTACTACTACACTGCAGCGCTCCCTCCAGAGTGCTGCTCCCGAATCCTGAAGACTACAACTGACCGACTGCCTACCTCGGAAGTGCCTGGGAAGTCCTATGTACTACCTCAGCCTGCCTCCTGACTACTGGAGGGCGAGTCAGGCTGAGGAGGCAGCTCTTGCCAATGCCGAAGTGTGCCAGGGGCTGGCGTGCAGCAGCCTGCTGAGGCTGGCGTGGGAAACAGACTAATAATAGTCTGTTCCCGAAACCCTGGTTCGGTGCCTGGGTTTCAGGGCCGGTCGTTTGATGAACGACCGAAAATGGCCCTTCGTTTCAGGCTAAAAAGGCTATTGCCATTTTTAGTCTGAAACGACACAGGGATAGGCCCTGAACTTCAGGCTTTCGGGCTGAGCCGACAGGGGGCCTGTAAGCCCTGATTTCAGGCTTTCGGCCTGAAGGACGCAGGCCTGCAAAATGGCCTGCGTGTGCACGCGCAGCATGTAACACTTGCCTTGCCTTGCCTTGCCTTGCCTTGCCTTGCTGTGCACTTGCTGTGCACTTGCCTTGCCTTGCCTTGCCCTGCCTTGCTTTGCCGCTTATTTGCCTTGCCTTGCTGTTCACGTGCCTCCCTGTGTCTGGCATTCCTGCTGGTCACTTGCCTGGCCCTGTCTTGCTCGCCGTTCACTTCTCTTGACTTGTCTCGCTGTTCACTTGCCTTGCACTGCCTTGCTGTCCACTTGCCTTGGCTTGCTGTTCATGTGCTTTGTCTTGCCTTGCCTTGACCTGACCTGCCTTGCCCTGCCTTGCCTTTCGCTCGCCTTGCCTTGCATTGCTGGTCATTTGCCTTGCCTTACCTTACCGTTCACCTGCTCTGTATTGCCTTGCCTTGTCGTTCTATTGTTTGGCCTTGTTGTGCGCTTGCCTTGCCTTACCTTACCTCACCGTTCACTTGCCTTTTTTTCCTTTTTCTTTTTGAAATCTGGGCGAGCCCTGCTAGCAGGAGTGATAAGAGCATCTCCCTTTAGCAGGCACATCCCTAGATGTTCTGGCCTTTATTTGCCCTGACTCGTTGTTCATTTGCCTTGCCTTGCCTTGCCTTGCCTCGCCGTTTACTTGCCTTGCCTCACTGTTCACTTCCCTTGCCTTGCCTTGTCGTTCACTTGGCTAGCCTCGCCTTGACTCATCGTTCACTTGATTTGCCTTGACTCGTTGTTCATTCGCCTTGCCTTGCCTTGCCTCGCCGTTTACTTGCCTTGTCCACTGTTCACTTGCCTTGCCTTGCCTTGTCGTTCACTTGGCTAGCCTCGCCTTGACTCATCGTTCACTTGATTTGCCTTGACTAGCTGCCTGCTTCGCCTTGTCATGCCTCTTCCTGTGTCTTGCCGTGTCCTGCCATGTCTTGCTGTGCCGCCTTGTTGCATATAGTGCCTTGCCTTTTCTGTGCTGCCATGCTGCATACCATGTTTTGCCTCCCCGCCTTACTGTGTTCCTGCTTCACGTGCCTTGTCTGTGTTGTGTTACATGATTTCTTTTTGCCCACGCGCGACAGGGTCTGCAGATTGGTTATGCCTCAACTCATTATGCAGGGATTTCGCAGACTGTTGAAGGTTCAGCCTCCTGATGAGTTGGTGCAAGTCCAACAAAACAGTCCATTATGTTCCTCAATTCTGTCCTATGCTTAAGTGTTGTCTGTCTCTTTTGTTCTCCATATCTGCACATAAGTGGGGATCTTTGGGAATAGTCCTGCCAGCCTATGTTAGTGTCCAATAGCAAATATCTCCTACGCAGTCGATGGGATAAAGAGTAAGCGAGCGTTGTTATGCCTGGAACACAATTGGAAGTGTGGTTAACACACACACACACACACACACACACACTTCTCCTTTTTGTCTGGCAGCCAGTTACTTCAAGAGCTGACAAAGAACAATGGTGGGGGGACGCAGAGTTGAGGTCACTTTGCAAACACACCTTGGTCAAACAACCTGCCCATCATTGCCACCTGGCACTTGCCACACCCATGCAGAAAGAATTAGCAAAACTCGTACCCAGAACACAATTGCATTGCACGCTTGGCCAATAAGCCATGTTGCATATCAATCCTTCTCGGGATACCCACAGGTATCACAGTTCAACTAGAGTAATTGATTCGTTGTATCCAGTACGAGGATTGGGCGGAAATTCAACTAGAGTAATTGATTCGTTGTATCCAGTATGAGGGTTGTCCGGGAATAAAGTAACATCCCAGTTCTGACTCCTGAGGCCAGTGGAGAATAACTAACACATAAGGAAGGGGATTGCCAATAACACAGTCCATGTTAGGTTCAGCCAATCCGTTCCAAGCAGGTCGGGCAGCTTGCACATGGGTGTTTGGACAATTGTGCATGTTCATAAACTCCTGGAGAATAAGGCCAAGTCATGCTGAGAACTCACAATAGCCTGGCAATACTGACAGTAGGCCCAATCCACAATTTGGAGGCAGGTTAAATGGCGCACTGGAACAAATTGCTGCGAAAGGGGCTCTTTGTTTGCCGGGAAACTACCGTCTTGACCCGACACCCGGTCATTCTATCTGGCATTTGGGGCAAGTTTCACTCCAGATTCAGCGATAATGACCAGGCGTTCTATTCGGGTGAAGACGGTAGCAAGTTTCACTCCAGATTCAGCGATAATGACCCGTCAGAACTCTCTCTCTCTCTCTCTCTCTCTCTCTCTCTCTCTCTCTCTCTCTCTCTCTCTCTCTCTC